ACTCTAGTACATAAACGAACCTCAAGTGTTCTTTTTGTCTCCTGAAGATGGTGGATCACGTTGTTCACTGAAACATGTAGAACTTGTTTTTTTTTAATATTATACAAATAAAGTTATTGTGCACATGAAAAAGTTGATGTGTTGATGTTTATTGATCACGAGTTATTCATATTTTCTTTTTCAATAGTTTCTTTTATAGTGACGGCCCATCAGTAACTCAGCAGCATATCTCTGGATTTATGACGCTTAAAATCGGGTTTTGATAACCGTGGTGGGCACAACAAAAATTACCCATTGTATAGCTTTGTACTTAACAGCAAACAAACTTATAGTGACAAAAAAAATAATATTTCCTTCCTAAAAAATTATCTGGATGTGATAAGGAGCGCTATCTTTCGATTAACAATTAAATAAAACCTTTCTCAAAGTTTACTCACCAAAAATGTCTGCACAGAATAGTTAAATTGGAGAGCAAGGTAAGCGTTTCTAACTCTAAATAGCGATAAAAGCTGCATTTAGTGTTTATTAAACAATATGTGAATATTAAGCCACATTTAGTGATGTGCAGTTCAATAAAGATAAAAGTTTCTTATGGTAGTACTCAAAATACGAAAAAGCGTACTCAAATATATGCTGCTAGTGACCTTGATCTTTAAACTTACCTCGAAAATAAGCAAAGTAAATTAGAGGTTAAAAATGTCTACGCGGCTCTTACCTGCATTTTATTTGACTTTCGACGGAAGAAGATGGCAATAAATTTACATTTGCATATTCACTCTCTCAACACGGCCTCGATCAATTTGACCGACCACGTGACCTCTTTGTAATCGTTTAAAGTCTTTAATGGATTTAATACTTCTAACTTTAATATAGTGTATATATATATATATATATATCTTCACAAAATTTGACAGTTTTCGATTAATATTATAATACTTTCACATACAAAAAATAATATTTTTTTAGTGAAGTATTTTTAATGAAATAAAATATAGATTTGTCCAAGAATATATTGAGTATTTGTTTTGGTAAGTCCGTGTGCAAAGTAATTTCCATGTTAAAATCAAAAATACTTTTCTTCATTTCAAAAACCTCAAATTTCCTTTGTGTAATCCCCAAAACCTTCTAAATGCATTTCAAACGTGTTTTTTTCAGTAAAATTTTATAGTTTATCTGTTATTTTCTCTACACTATCTCTAAATGGAATCAGGGTCAATTCAACCGACCTAGTAACCACCAAAAAAAAAATACGAAATCAATCTAAATTAAT